TGGTAGAATCCCCCCCCCGGCTGGATCCCTCGAGAGCTTCCTCCAAAGCCACTTCCAGCTCCTATGGCTGGAAGAGGCAGGCAGAATTCCCGGCCAGCCCCTGGCACTCCCCAGGACCCTCCTGGGTTCAGAGCGGGGCACAGTTAGACGCCTGCGTGTGGCTCTGGATGCCGCGTCCAAAGAGGCACCCCCAGAGTTTCCATCTTGTCCCAAGAATTTCTTCCAAGGCTTTTTCTGAGCTTGCTCCTCAGAGACCCGGCGGGCTTTGGAGGAGACTGCCTGGGGCGTCCAGAACAAGGACGTTTAGCTGTCTTGGCACTCCCTGCTAAGGAACCAGCCCCCTCCTTCAGCCTTCTCTGCCCTCGCCAAGGTGCGGACGGCCCTGCCACGGAGACCGTTCTGCTGGCCTGCAGGGTAGCTTCTTCCACGTGGGCAAAAGGAGATGAGTCAGACTGGTCCCGGGCTCCTCCTGGCATCACCAGGGCCCTGCCAAATTCACAGCCGTGAAAAACGTGTCACGGCCGTGAAATAAACCCTTCCCCGTGAAATCTGACCACCCCTGTGTGGCTGGGTGTGCCCCAGGCAGAGGGCTTCTACCTGCAAGTCCCCGCCAGGCTGGGTAGACACAGGACTTGTCCTTCCCTTGCATGGCAACTCTCGGAGGGAGGTCCGGCCGACCTCCAAGTGCCTCCCGCCCCTGGGCAGCAACCCTAGAGATTCCAGCAGCTGGAGGAGGCTTCTGGAGGGAGGTCCGATCTCCCTCTGCTTCAGGGAGCACCCCAGCCCGGGTGAGGAGTCAAAGGACTTATCCTTCGGGGGGGAGGTGCGATCAATTCCTCCTGCCTCTGGGTCGGGAACCCCATGGTGACAGCCCCGTGACATTTCACATCAGCACCCAGAAAAGTGAAACTGGCCAATGTTTAGAGCCCTCTGGCTGTGAAATTGATCAAAAATGGGCCATGAACTTGGTAGGGCCTGAGACATAACTCAATCATAAAACTGGGGCGCCTCAGGAGGTCCCACGTGGGTGGGTCAGCAGGACTGCACTGGGAGGAGGGAGGGTTTGGGGTCCCTCTCAAAAGCTACTTCCTGACGCCTTGGAGGGCCCCTTAGCAGGGCTGTGACTGGAGCTGTGGCCGGTTCCAGAGGAGGCCCCTTCCTGGAACCTTTGAGCTGGCCTTTGAGCTGCCGTCACGGGCAGATGGGCGAAGAGCCTGGACCTCGCGCCGCTGAGCCATGAGCGCTCCGGATAGGCATCCTTTGGGACTGGGTGAGAGGGGCGCGGATTGGGGGCATCTGTAGCCATCGTGCAGATGGGTCCTGAGAGGGCCTCAGTCTGGGGAGCCGGAGGGCGGAGAGGGGCGGGACCAGCTTGACAACTGCCTGACCGATTCATGGAGCTGCTCTTGATTGGCTTCTTTTCTCTCCCTGTAGGACATAAAGAGCACTCTGGAAAGGTAAGTCCGCCCTTCCCCAGCTCTCACCCCTGGGAGCTGAAAACAGCACCGCCCGCCCGCCCACCCCAGCCCCCATCCCCACCAGTCCCAAAGGGGAAAGGCTCTGAACAGCACAGGGGGGCGGGGGCCTAGGGGGTGGG